CACACACACACACACACACACACACACACACACACACACACACACACACCGCTGAGCTGCACGTGGCTCAAATTACAACCAAACTGGATTAATTATCTGAGATGCCTTCTGCTGTCAGTGCGTGTTTATTTTTATAGGCTAAAATTTGATTTAAGTTTTCTGTTTCCTTCTCTAAGTCTGTAATTAGTTTAGCGTTTTGGTAGGTTAGTATTTCAGTGCATGTTGTAGTAAATGCTGTTTTCAGCTGCTGCTACCTGGCATCTGTCTGGTACTTGTTTATATTTTCTCTCAAATGCTTCACTTGTAACTGTACTATTTGTTGATGAAGTAGTTTTTGTGGCATTCCGCTGAAATCTTAATTTTCTTTCCTTTTAGATCAGGGGCGGAGCCAGAGGGGTGGCACCTGATTAGCCACCCCCAAATGATTGACAAGTAGGGTGGGGCTTGCATGTGGCTTTTCAAATGAACATTTAATGAGAAACTCTTGTTGCTAGCTGGGGTAGCTTTAAGAATGTCATGGGGATTGCTTTTGACTACCACCACACCAAATTTCAGCTTCTAAAAACAGCTGAGTGGAAGCCATTTGAAATTAGCTTCACTGCAACTGTCCATCTTACCAAGTTTTAAAATCTTATATCCAACCAAAAAGTCTTTTTGATCTCATTTTGAGACTGATTTACTAAACAAGAACTGATTGTGTAAGAATAATAATCTTGTTTTCAGAATGTGTAAGATTATTTGTCTTGTTAGCCTGAAAATTTGACTCAAATTAAGTCAAAAATTTCTGCCAATGGAATAAGAAAGTTTTACTTGGTAAAATCCTTGAAATAAGGAAAATATTGAGTCAAATCAAGTATTTCAAGAATTTTACCAAGTAAAAGTTTCTTACTCCGTTGGCAGAAATCTTTGACTTTATTTGAGTCAAATTTTCAGGCTAACAAGACAAATAATCTTACACATTCAGTTATTGTTTAGTAAATCAGTCTCAAAACAAGATCAAAAAAAAAAAAAATCTTGGGCTGGATATAAGGTTTTAAAACTTGGTTAGGTGGACAGTTTTTGCAGTGTTTGGCAGCCATCTTGGATTTTGTATTTGAAATCAGATTTCATAAAAGATTGTTGCTTGGCTACTACTATGCTAATTTTAAAATGGCTAAATATTGACCTTTTGTGAAATTAGCATTAACATTAGTTTGGCCTGACAATTAGCATATTTTTCAGATCATTCTTATTTATTTATTTATTTAAATTAGCATATTTTTCAGATCATTCTTATTTATTTATTTTTTATTTATTTAAATTTTTTATTTATTTCATTAAAACATACAACAAGTA